TATATATATGTCTGATATAAAATACAAAAAATATAAATATATGGTCTGTTGTCTTAAAAACCATGTTACGTATTTTCCCCAAACAATTTTACATTCGCCTTAAACGTTTTTTCACACTAGACCCAAAAATAGTTCATGTTAGGCTCCTGATTTTTACATCTAGTAGCTTAGGCTACTTATTCAAGGTTTAATGGCTTTAAGTTTTAATAGGCTGGAATAACTTATCGAATTTTTCTTCTAAATAATTATTCAAGTGTTGTTTGACAATTGACTTGAAGTCTGACTCAAAAGTTTGAAGGGTTATTCAATGTTTGTTTATTTTTTTATTTCTATTTTTTAATATGTTGGCAATAGGTAAAAAAAGTATGATATAAATCGTACAAAATAAGCAAAAACTCATTTTATTTTTATAAAAACTTGAATATTTTTTAATTTATTGCACATTCGCCCCACCATTATGAGAATTTATTAGTAGTTTAATCTACCCTTCAATAGCATCGACGGGAGAGATAGACTAGTGTGCCCAATATCTTTTGAATTTTACAAAACGACTTACTAATCACCATTTCGACTATTTAGTGTTATTTTATTGAAATTAGAATGTTGTTCCTCATTTTAAAAAGTATATAAGCTTATTTGAATAAATACTTGATTGCTAATCTTTTTGTTTAAAAAAATTGTTTTTGTCTGCACTAGCCCCATGACAAAGGGTCTTACTTATAAAAATCCTGCAAAATCAGAACGAACTAATTTTAAATTAAAGATTCAGTATTGAATAAAAATCTTAACTACGTATATTATGGTATATCTTAACTATGTTTAGTTATTGGTAAAGCCTAAAAAATATTAATTTATATTACTGAATTAGAATACAACTAAGTAAAACATTTGTTGAAAAGAAAATGTAGTGCATTAGAAATCCATTTTCAATATTTATTTTGTAGAAAAATATTATTTTAATAATAAAATCTAATTTTATTTCAAAAGATTGTTAGAATTAAATACCACCTGAAAGGGTATGACATTAAAAATATTTCATAATTATAGCATTTATAACGATATAAGAAAAGTAATAAAATTTGATGTGTAATCAATATCTTGAATTTAAAAAAAATTCCGAAAACATGTTAAGGCATTCGTTTCCTTCTAATTTTTCCACGGAACCAAAATATATTGATTTTAATGAATAAAAGCCTAAAATGTAGAAAAAAATTTTAAATAGATTAAAAAAGTTTACAACGTTAATCAAATTTAGTGAATAAGTACTCTAATAAGTAATCTAATAAGTACTCTATTAATAAATTAACGATGTGTTAGTAATAAATCTACATTATTATAACAGAAAACTTAATTCCAATGATTATTGTTTTATCTTTATTCAAACAGGGCTGAGCTATTTTATGAATATGTAATCATTTGGCGACTAAAGTTGCGACCTTTGCAAATTAGTCGCAAAATCAATAAACTACTGTAAAATAGCTATTTTGTAGAGTCAATTTGAATGCAGTTTTCATCAATAATTATTCGAAAGCATAAGTCTAACATGAAATTAAGATAATTTAGACAAATAAAAGTCCCGAGTTAAATGCGGGAGAGCAGCCATTTCATATAATAGAGGCTCCCCTAGCAATGGGCGATGACAATTCCTGCCACGAGTTTCTAAGTTGATATGAAATTCTCAATCTTTATGATGCACGTTAACTTTTCTTCAAATTTAAAACTACTGTATTAAATCCCCCTGAATACTCACTGATTATGTAATAAATGCAAATTCAAATTTGCTAAGAAAACGGAAGCAACCCATTGAATAAAAGAGAAATATTTGATAAAGTAGTAGTTGGGGGGGGGTAGAGGACATACAATGAGTTGCTTATTTTTAAGAATTTTTAACCTTATCGCGATTATTAAATTAAACAGAAAATCATAACAACATTAAAATATTCATTTAATATACAATCGATAAAGTTCTTCAAATTTAGATTTACTGATAACCAATTTAAAAAATTCCTCTAAACAATTGCACTAAAATATTTTTAAAAAATATACATCAATGTTCACCTTTTTTATACCTATTCTTTTCTTCAAATTATATTGCATAACTGAACTATTTCATAAGATATATTTTATATCATAACTGAAAAATAAAAATACAAGGAAAAAAAATCACATAAAATGACATACAGCAAAAGATTCTAATATTTCTGACATGTGGAAATCTGCTGTATAATAAAACAATAAAAACACAGCTGCTTTTAAATAAACACCATTTGCTGTGGCAGTCTGATATTTGTTCTAAAAACACAACAAAAGTATTTTCCTTTTTACTTTCAGGAAATACTCATTCCAAATCTAAAGAAATACGAAGTGGAGAATAAAAGCGTTATGGCAAATGTCACACTAGGGCGAGTCATCATATAACCTTAAACAATATTTTCATTTTTATAACGATCCTTTTTCACTGAAGAAGTGCATTTTAAATATACTTTATGAAAAATAGTCTGTGTTGTTCCGATAGTTTTGGATAAAACATTAGCAGTCTTACACAAAACTATACAGTACTACTCTTGCATTTTGTTCTTAGAAGAGCAACATTTCTACTCCCTTCAGTTTTCTAAACAGATTTTATGCAATATTCTTTCGTTACATCACTCTTCATTATATCGAGAATTCGGATACATCGATGTGTCCTGAGAAAAAATAAATACATCCTAAAAATTTCCCATTTACCAGATTTTTAGAATAATACTTGAAGCTTTTTTTAGTGATAAAAAAAAAATAATGATAAGTATTTCAGACCTGCTAACTTCTCTAGCTTTTATCTTGATCTCAAATATTTAAGCTGTTAGCAAATTTTTTTCCTCAACATGCGATTTAATATGTTTTTTTTCCCTTTGTGACATTTAAATAAGTCAATAACATCAATAAAAAGGCTTATAAAAGTATGTTGTGATGCTTAAATATACTGGTTAGATTTTAAAAACATTACCTTTTAAACTGTTATATTTTATCTCGGCTGTAAATTTTGTGGTGAGCTACAGCTTCAGAATTGGCTGCTTTAAAAATTTTACGAATGCATAATAAGCTGCAATTTAAGGTAAAATAATTCCCTTCATACAATAACACCTGTACAGAGGGCAAAAAAGAACATATCATCAAGAATGACTTTCCTTCTATAACTGAGTGAATTTCTGAATGTTAAATGGCATTTTAAAAACATTGAAATATGTTATGTTTAAGAATGACATATTGAAATAATATGTTGCATATTGCATGATTTATTGTTTAAAAAAATCGCTTCATTCTATTAGATATTTAAGTTAATTTTTTTTCTTTGGAAAAAGATGATTTGCAAATAGCATCCTGATGTTTCGATACATTCTAAAACTTATTTTCGCAAATTCACCATAAAATGTCTCACAACAAGTTCTTTGATTATGTTGTTGTTGTTGTTGTTAATTTACGTCGCACTAGAGCTGCACAATAGGCTATTGGCGACGGTCTGGGAAACATCCCGGAGGATGATCCGAAGACATGCCATCACAATTTTGATCTTCTGCGGAGGGGATGGCACCCCCGCTTCGGTAGCCGGACAACCTGCGTGCGAAGTCGAGCACTTTACGGTAGCACAGTTTAACGAAGACCAATACCGCACACCCTCGGTCCCTACGCAGAGTGATCCAAGTGACCACCCACCCTCACACTGACAGTAGCCAGTGATGCTTAACTTCGGGGATCTGCTGGGAACCGTGTCTTAACGATCAGTTCACTGTGGGACTCTTTAATTACGATAAACTACATTTATCAAAAAATACCGCTACTACGATTTCTTTGTTTTCTTATATATATCTGATACGATACTCTCTTTTTAAACAGAGTTCGTAAGATCCTTAAGATACTGAAATGGTGGCACAAAAACTTAAACTATAAAATATACAATTTCATTAAGTCAAAATATCTGGTCTGAAAATTTTTATTTTAAAGTTAATTTAAATTTTAAGGTTATTTTAAATTTTAAAATTAAAAATAACTTCATAGTGACAATATTGATTCTGAAGTTCTCTTACATTTTTAAAGACCACGTGAATCCTGCTAAAATATTAAAATACATATGTTTACTTTTACGAGCATAAAATCCTTATCAAACTAATGCTCAAGACCCAAATTTAAGACAGTAAGATTGATGATAAAAACTTTACTGACTTCATAAAATATGAAGAGGGAAATAAAAGTCAACATGCTTCGAGCGTTCAAATATAAGAGCCCATTCTCAAGACTCGTCAGGCATGAATGACTTGTAACGTTAATTATTGGACGCTCAAAACATGTTTACTTTTATTATAATCTAATATTTTTTAAATCAATGAAGTTTTTATCTTTTCCATTCAGCTTCTTGAGATTATTCATTTAGAAAAAAAAAATTTGAGATTATTCATTAGAAGAAATTGATTAAATAACTTCATGTGATATTAGAATATGTTTTACATAAGATAGGAGCATAGGTTCTTCGATTGAAAAAATAAAAATTAGTCTCAACTTTCCAAAAAATTCAATGCAGTACAATTTTTTCTTTACTGCTAGCCTAATGACATTTTTAGGGACATAAAAAATTCCGTTTTCGATTAAAATTTCAAAAGTCAAAAGTGAAAACCCCCTAGCACCAAGAATCAAGATTAAATAGTTACAAGGACAGCTATTTCAAACAAGTTAACGTTTCCGGTCTACTCGAAGTTGTTTGAAAATGTAATTTTTATTTATCGATTCCAAAGTTTATTCTACATATATTTTAGAGTATACTTTAGGCGTACTTCGATCGAGTTTATTTTTACCCTCTTATGTGCTTAAAATTAATAAATAATTTGCTTAAAACAAATTATTCAAGCTATATAATTTAATACATTTTTGGCACAATAGCAAACGGGGATTCCATCACATATCCTTAACTTTGATACCGCTATCATTAAATTAATGGAATAAGCTTAGATAAATAATAATAGCTAAATTTTTCTTGTTTTAGCTTTCAAGGAATAATATGTTTCGTCCAAACAGATTTCAATTCTGGAATTAACGAAATCATTGAGTAGGTTCCTTGGAGCAATATCATTCTTATCCTCTTATGACGAAAGATAGGAAAAATTGGTATTCACACTTTCTGTAAGAAGTATGTTAACCTTCTCGCTGCGTAATTTTTTTTTCTTATCAAAATAAGTTCAAAAATTTAGTATTTTTTATTATGTTTTCCAAATCAAATGATAATTCTAAAATTGATACGGCTTTGCAATCTTTTTACAAATTTCAATTTTTAGTATTTGCTGTTTAGCAAAAAAAAAGTGTTTTCCTAAAAACAAATTATGCTCTAATGAAATCTTGGGAATTGTGCTAAAGTTGAAAATTAATTTTAGCAAAAGTAAATTATTTCAACATCTTCTGTTAAAAAAAGCAGCTTTCTTAAAATTAACTATGTAATATATTAGTTTAAACGTTAAAATGTAATTGTAAATCGAATTTGTTCATTTAAAAAGCAAAGCAAACAGTTGTGGTTTTTTTTTTAGTTGCACTAATATGAATTTGCTTTTCACGAACCAAAACAAATAAGAAACAACATAAAGTAAATGAATAAATAATTTGTTTATTCAATCTTAAAGAAAGAGGTGCTCTTATTTACTGCGATCATTTAGACATTTTGCACTGAGTAATTTAAACATAGAAAATGTTCTTAAATTCTTATCAGCTCATGACCAGGTAATTAAAAATTTTATTTCTCAATTAAGATGTTATTACAGCATTTAAGATACTGAGATATTTCAATTTCGGTTTCGCATTCGATGGTTCTTTATGTTTGGTATCTTCATATTCCTTGAAATGTATAAAACATCAACACTATTTTAGATAATCTATATTGAAGTCACAAAAAACAGTAAAAAAAATTTATTATTTATCCTCATTTTTTGAAAAAAAATAGTATACTTAGTAAATAGTTACCTGTTTTTAATCGAATAATTTTAAACAGCAAAATGTTTTTATTTTCTTAACAAAATTTTATTCTCAGCTAGCAGGAAATAATTCTAAGCTTCCTTTTGATAAAAACTTGACAATAATTTGAAAAGGAATTTTACTTTAAAGAAAGACCTAAATTTAAGTACTAAAAAACACTTATTAGTATATTAATGAAAAATAATATACGTATCACCGTAAAGAATAAGATTTTTAAAAATGTTAAAATTTGAATGAATAGTTGGTTAAATAGTTCTGCGAAACATGCGCGGACAGGTAATTAAAAAATTAATTTTATGATTAAGATGATATATAATATGTTGAGAAATTTTAAGATGCTTAAAAATTTTAACTAAGTATTCGTATTAATAATTATAAAATATATATTGAAGAAATTTATAAATATATTTTTCCAAATCTATGCAGACGTAAGTATATAATTGATATTGTATCAATTATTAAAAAAAGCCAAGCAGAAAATAAAATATAATCACATTAGGTATAATCATAATCTAATCTATAATCATATTCTATCAGAAACATGATTCGATAAACTTCGACATTCGTTGAATAAAATGTTTTCATTCAAAAAAATATTTTATTCATATTGCTACAACTAGAAAAGAAACATCGTTTACTAAAAAAAAATTTTATGATTAAGAAAAAGATTAGCAATCGATTATTAGCGAAAAAAATATGAAAGAAACTATACGCTACGAGTGCGTAAGTCTAATTCCTCGTAAGTTAACCCACGTTTAAATATTAATGGAACCATTTAAATAGTTCTTCCTTGTCGCCAAATTATTTTTTTTAATAATTAATTTTAATTTTTCTCGGCTTCTACTAAATAAAAACAGTTGATTTTGAATTAAAAAAATATGTAGATAAATATGGTATAAAATATTTCAGACCTCATAATTCAACATTTTTCATCTTCAATTAAATTAAATAATAAATAATTATTAAAAATTAGTTTTTCCATGAAATTATCATTGGGTAAATGGGTCTTATGAGTAGGGGTAATTTTTGAATTGCTTAATTAGTTTTAAAAACATGACAGAAAACGCAAAAAGTGAAATTAATATTAAGGCATCCCAACTTTTTATCGCTCTCCTAACCAAACTATGGGGACCATATTTCCCAGATTATGGCTACCCCCTATATTTTTAAGGTGGAGAATTCAAATATGTAAAAATAATAATAATTAATAGTTAGCACTAAATAATTAGCATATTTGAGGTCCCCCCAGGAACCATTAAAATTGACACTTAATACGTGAAAATCCTTAATACGTGAAAGTTATTCAGGGTGATATCTTTAATGTATGTTTAATTATCTTGCAAACATAATTTAAACGTTTTTGACCAGGGTCTTATTTACGCATGAAATGCCCGAAAGGGCGAAAATGACTCTTATAATTATTAATTTTTAATAGCATTTTTTTCCTCTTTTTTTTTTATTTGATTAACCAATATTTGAGATGCATACAACTTCAATTTGAGAAACATTATTTTTACTTGGCATCACTATTATTTTTCAATACATTAATGAACAGAAAAATTTCAGTTTCTATTCCTAGGACATATTTATCTAAAAAATGTAGTTAAAATTTTCAGTCTTTATTTTATTTTCAAAAATACTCTTAATATTCTTAGCTAGATTCATAATTAGATACACTTTACTGAAAAAAGGGAAATATTTAATAGATTTATACAGATTTCGCAAACATTTTGGTGAAAAAGGGAAATTTTTGAATTTAGATTTTTTGACTATGAAAACTAAAAATAAAACTTTTTCTTGGTGAAGAAACGTATATTTTTAATTATGAAAAAAATAAAATTTAACGAATTTATTATTGCGTTGCTGATTTTTTTTTAAATATATACTACATATTGCATTTTTAAATATTATGATCATAAATTAAAAAGGCTTTATTCCCAAATTAGTTCAGATAAATACATGCAGAACATACTTTATTATAAAAAAATTGTAAAAACTAACAATCAAACTATCTTTTCATTAAAAACATGTATTTCGCATAAGACACTTTTCATCAACAATTATTAAAGCGTTTTCATTGATTTCTACAAACCCAAGCTCTGAAAAAAATTAGCAAAACTGAAACTTAAATATAACATTGCGCGTAATCATCTCTGGAATTTAAAACGTTTAATTAATAAAGATTATTAAGAAAACAATAGAAAGAATATCCGTAAGCAATATCCGAAAAATATATTGGTTTTCAAAAATTAACAACAAGCTCAGAATTTAAATTAGAGAAAAATATTGTAAAACATTCCCTTACAGCAAAGAGGAGAAGAGGGAAAGGTGACATGGAGCCGTTTCCTCCCTAGATGGCGAGTTTGACCATTACGATCGCAAATGCAATTTACTTGCAAGCAACAGGAATGGCACATGAGTGATGGTAAGCAACAACTTTTTACTCAAAGCAAGCTCTAAGCAAACCTTTCATATTATTGAATCTCCAAAAAACATTAATAACATCTATAGACATGGAGCCGTTTTCTCCCTAGATGGCGTGTTTGTCCATTACGATCGCCAATGCGATTTATTTGCAAGCAGCACGAATGGCACATGAGTAATGGTAAGCAACAACTTTTTACTCAAAGCAAGCTCTAAGCAAACCTTTCATATTATTGAATCCTAAAAAGATAGTTATAACTTCTTTTCTTTTTTTTCAATGTTTGTAAATAATAGATTCCGTCGATTCTCACATAGAATGTTGTCGCGAAATTAATGGGCGGAAATATCGCAATCAACTACTGTAAGTAATTTTGCATAGTTTCTTTTTCACTGATTTAAATTATAAACTTCTTCTGATAATTTCTATTTGTTGGAAATTTAGAAATAAATTTAGTATGTTGTAATTTTTTCATTGTTGTTTTTTACTCTTATTCAATTGTATTCCAAATAACTAACACAATAATTTCAATTTATGTAACAGAAATACCGTACAATATGAAAAACAGTTTAATACTAATGAGCTTCTAGATATGAATAGTTTTCGGTATAGTTATAGTTAACTTTTTTGTAGTCTGATATATTTGTAATTTGAATTACTGGAATATTAAATTTAAATATATCAGAAACGAATGTAAATGAAAGATAAAAAAATTATACACTGTTTCTCTTTATATACTGTTTTTAATTTTTTGAAAAATCTTAGACAATTTCTTGAATTGTTTTAGATTGGTTTGGCACAATGACTAAAAGTGCTAGGCTTTCTTGAAAGATAAGCGAGGATTTTGTTTCATAAAACTTATATATACCAATCTTCCTTTGGATATCCATTCTAAAAAATATTAGAAATAGAATTTTGCTTAATAAGATACAATATTTATTATATATAATCAAATCTAGTTCTAGACAATAACATTCTACAAGATCCTGTTCTTCTTTAATTATTAAAGTTTTATGTTGACCAGCTCTTTGATTCTCTGAATTAATTTTTCCACTTATTCATAGTGCTGATTTTAGTGTGTCATACTTTCTTTCAACTTTTTGCTGACTCAGTTTCCTACTTTTACCTCTGCAATAGCTTCCTGCAGGTACTTTAAAGAGTGAGAGAGAGGAGACTTTATTTTTTGTAAATGCTCTTCTCATTTTTATGCAGCAGAACATAAGTTATTAATTTTCAGTTAGTAAAAAATATGGTCATAAGTATCAGGTTCTGGAAGGGGAAAATGAAAGGTAATTATGCCCTACACTTTCAAGTAATTTACTTTAATAGTGGTAGAAAAAAATATCATGGGCTTAAAAACAGCTTTGCATTTACCATAAAAATTTTCTTTGAGGGTTGAAATCACTTTGAATCAATATGTCTCAAAACAATTTTTCAAAGATTTGTATTGTTTTTTTTTTAAAATTTATTTGAATATTGGCTCAATATTTTTATCTAGGAACTATTTAAAGGTTCTTGAAGCAAAATATTGAAATAAAACTTGATAAAAAAAAAAGACATATTTTTGTACATTCTTATCTTTGACTAGTTTTTTTTAAAAGTGGCTTTACTTGGGATACCTACTATATTTGCAATATAAGATGAAATGTGAATGTATATTCTGCTTTCTCAAAATGTAGTAGGATATAATAATCCTGCGTGTATCCTGCAGGATTTACAAATCTGATTTAAACATTCCATTTATGCTTCGAATGAATTTAATAAGTTAAAACTGATGGTAGAGTGAAGTATAAGTAAAACTAAGAACTTGTAAATAATATAGCACTTAATCTTTTGTTAGAACAATATCTAGAGATTTATGATCTACCATTATCTTTTTTTAATGATTAAATAATAAGTCGTGAAAAGCAGTGAATACAATGAGTTACATCCTAAGTGGAGATAAAATTCTAGTGGCAAATAAAGCACTCAATGAAAAGCCTTCTTGTTGTTGGTTTTATAGTGATAAATACTCATACATAGCTTTGTTATCCAACCCTTCTAAGACACTCATTTCTTTGTTGAATATTGAGTATTTGTACGGAACTCTGAGGAAACTGGGCAGCTTTGAATGGCTGACTTTGTCTAATATTTTAATGATATTTCTGGTTTATCATTTTTAATGTTTCCTTTTCTAGTGTCCCTGTTTTCATATTTATCCTCATTTTCTAATTTGATGACTAAATCCGTAAATTTTGTTTCCTTTAGTTGCTAATAAAAAAATTTAATATTATCTTTCAATTTGCTGTGCTTTATAGATTCGAAAACACTGTTGAGTTTGAACACAGTAGTTCATGGGGCTGACCATTATAATTCAGATACTCCAAAACACTGCACATATTCATTCTTCTCCGTTGAGTGCAATTTTCTAACAGTCACTTAAATCTACCTTCTGATAGTCAATTTTGTTTAACAAAATCTTCAATATTGGATCAAACGTTAACAAATTGTTGCCGCATTGGTAAAAACTTTCGACAGCTATTCTAACTGGCTGTAGTTCATTTAAAATAACTGAAACTTATTCAGTTCTTCCTCAGACACATTTATTGCCTGGTTTATATTTAAAGCTTTTTGTATGGAGTCTTCCAATTTCACCCAATAGCCCAATAGAGTTTTGATCTTGTCTTACAATCTGAAATCAGGAAATTTTCTCTCTTAAACTTTTTTTTTCCTATTTTTCTGCATAGGTTCATTTTTAACCGTGAATCTTAGAAATATTCTACATGAGGGGAAAATTTTTGAACAAGAGAATTAATATTGGGCAAAAACTCCAGCAAATTCTTAACAACATTCACGCTTCTATTATTTTCTATCATTATTTTTCAATCATAAACTGCCTCCAGAAGAGAAAGTTAAGTGATTCAGGTATCAGTAAAAAGGCCTTAAAAAGCATTTCAAAAGTGAAGAATTCTTTTAATTATAATTTTGGTTCTGCAGGGTTGAGATCATAATCTAGCTATACTACTCTTGTAGACAGTGGTGCAGCTTCAGATTGCAATCCCTGTCTAGAAAGCCTCTTTTTAGTTTGAAATCTACTGCTTGACTGTTAGCTAAGATTTTGGTGCAAAATCTCATGCACTTTCTTATTTGGACTTAATATAACTTAACTTAACATTCAGTTTATTCTCTAAAATTTTGTTTTCAAAGTTTTTTTTTTTATTTAATTTCTTTTCTTTATCCTAAAAAGTATTCAATATTGTATTAGTAGCATTTTTTTCTGTTTGCTAAAAAAAGAAAAGAAAATTGCAAAATGCAAAGTTTGTTAGCATTTTTGGCAAATCCATTGACAGAAACCATGCACAAGATATGTAAAATCAACGTTGTATTGGAGTAAAAAATTTTACCCATTCATTATTTTAAGTCAATTTTCTTTTCAGTTGATATAAATTTATACATTTTTTGCTTTGAGTTTTTAACTGTATTAATTTTATTTTAGATATACTCGCTATCTGATGGTTTGGATAAGTTATGAAGATAATTAGATTTCAACTAAAACGTTTGGTAGTAGTAATTTTTATAATCATTGTTTTGTTTGCTTTACATTCTGTGTGGAATAATGAAAAGATTTCTTTTGATTGTGTCATGTCAACTGATACTGAAAAAAAATTGGACAACTTGTTAGATGAAATACAGAAAGCTTTGGTTGATTTAAAACTTACATATTTTTTATGTTACAATAGTTTATGGGGAGCACTGAAATTTAAGAAATCACTACCCTGGCATACAGAATTAGAACTTTGTGTTTTAAATAAAGAATTAACAGCAGTAGATGAAGGTATTTTAAATCGAATTTTTAAAAGTCACAGTTTAGTAATTATATATAATTCAGCTGGTGGATTTTATAAAGTAAATAAATTCGAGGAAAATGTTCCAACAGCTACATTAACTGTTTTTGAAGAAGATCAATTGACCCATCAAATGAGGAGAGTTGGGTGGATTCACAGAGTACTTCCACCAAATTCTTGTGAAGAACTTAACTGTTTTCCTCCAGAACTTATATCTGAACCCATGCCTACCATTATGTTTGGAACCAATAAAGTCCCTGTCCCACGTGATAGCATTGAAATTCTAAAATATTTATTTCCAAATTCATGGTGGGAAGATATTACACCTTTTCATTGTCGTACTTCAACTGAAAGACAAATTATATGAGACAAGAACTAGTAAATGTTCCAATTATTTATTATGTGAATGCTAACCTTTAACCATGTGGGTGCAAAAAATTTTATATCGCTGTAGTTTTTTAAAGCTTTTTCGGCAAGAAAATTTTTTTAAAAAAAAACAAAAAAAAAGGCTTTAGTTTAAGAGCCTTTAACTTAAACCAAAGATATAATTTTAAGCTATGCATACTGTTTTGCATAAAGAATTATCTGGGTTTTAGAATGGTCATAAAGTAAACTATCGTAAAGAAATTATTGACGCAGAATTAAACTTTGTTACAAAAAATTTATCGATTTTTTTTGAGCCTAGAGAATTCAGGGTTAAATTAACTCTTTAAATCTTACAAAGATTCAATCAAATATCATTTTTATTCTTACAAAACTGTGGCTTTTCTGCATATTGACATTTTGAGCTTCTTTCCTAATTAGGAGAGAGGGCACTAGCTAAAGGTATGCAAATTTAACCTAGAATTATTTACCATGTTGATCTGTTACAAGCTCACAACAATTATAATATTAACATATTATTTGCAAAAAAAGCATTAATTCATGTGACAACAAAATCTACAAGCAGCAGCCTAAATAATATCTTATTTCTGACAAAACTCACTTAAGGCATTGTGGCAATATCGAAGAGAGCTAAGTAATGGTAAAATTATTTCACAATATGTTTCTATAAGGAATAACATATTTTGGACTACCACTCAACATTTGCATAAATTAATTTACACACTATAAATTTATATCAATGATCTTCAATCAAAGAATTTTAAAAATAAATTTGCAACTAAAATGAAAGAATCCACTAGTGTTAATCATAAATAGTTCACCTATCTTAGCGTATTTTAAAACATTGGAACTTCATAACTATCAAGCCATCATTATGTAAGTAAAATTGGCTCTAGTTTACTTTTGCACCCAAAAGGTTAAAGCTTTTAGTTTATGTTATGTGTTGAAAAGATCTGGACTGTGATTCATATGTTGTTTAATCCACTGGCAGTTCTGCACATAGGAATTCATGATTTTGTTATCTTCCTAGATATAAAATGTATATGCATAAAAACATTACTCCATCCTACAAAAAATCCTGCATATAGAAAAAGCCTCCATTTTTACGTGCTGAAACACTCACCTATCTAGAATTAAAGATAGGAGAAAAATGATGCTTCTTATCATAGTTTTTTTTTATGGAAGGGGGTTTTAGTTTATACCACAGTTATATATAAAAAAAATGTGAATATTTGAGAGCGGTACAAATTAAAATATCAAAACTGCCAGTGGGTTAACAGTACTTGAGTATCTACTTTAATATGGACTAAATTTTGGCAAAATATGTTTGAAATATATAAGGCCAGAATGGTATAGAAAATGTTTTTATAAAAGTCCTTGAAAGATGTTTAATTTTGGATTTGATACTAAATATACTAAATCTATAAAATGAAGTAGATTTTCAGTACATAATCTGCTGCTTCAAGAAAGAAGTCAGTATCTCCAGAGCCTTCTTATTGGAGGTATATTGCTTTCTTGCTTAGAAGGGCAGCATTCTGAGAAATGTTGCGGCTATGAACAAAAATCTCTACCAGGCCTTTATAAAAAATAAAATAAATAAATACAGGATTCATAAAGAAATATTAAAGTAGATAATATAGATTATATTAAGCTCTTTTATATGAACTGTTGATTACTGTCTGCAGTACTAAAGAATGTTTAACAAATTAATCCTTAGCATAAATAAGTTGAAAACTATCTTAAAAAAGAAGAAAAAAAGATTCTGAGGGAGAAATTTTACCAGGGTTCTCCCTAGGAATAAAAAAGGGAAGGGTGATGCCACCCAAAAAAGGGCACTTTGAGTTTTGAAATGGCCTTCACTTACCATCGTAAAAATTTATCAAAATGTGTAATATTATGTTATAACTGAATTTGATCGTCAACGATTTTTGAATTACCCTCTTATACTAATTTATGTGTATATTTCTAAAAATAATTTTCTCTCATTATTGAAATGAGAGAAAAAATTGTAGTTTATAAAAATAATTAAAGGCATGCTAAAGGACTATCTCTGTGCCTAAATTTCTTTCAAAAAAAGTATAAACTGAAATAAATGGTTAATTAATAAACAACTTGAAAGCTTTTTTCTAAATTTAAACTGAAAATTATGACAAAATAAATATACAAAGGTGTATTTAAAAAAAGGCATTTATTTAAAAAATAATTTCGAAATTTAAAATCATTAATAATACCCTACCCCCTGAGAAAAGAGATATTCTTATAAAATATTAATGAATTGAGAATAATCCGAACAGAGTAAATATTAGTAATAGTAATCAGAATTAAACCAATAAACAGAGATAATTTTACCAGTGTGTAATTATTATTTATGTAGAAAATTAATTTTTTTCAAAATGGAATATGAATAAAAAGGCAATATTTTTAAGAAATGGTGACTTATTTTTACAAAATGGGCAAAGAGGGCACATTTATAGGAATCAAAAGGTGGGTAGAGCTGGTCGCCCTTCTCAAAATGCTTAGGGAGAACACTGGTTTTACTCTTAATATGATTCTGATTTCGTATAGATATAATAATGCAAATTTCTTATATGTAATGTACAGTGCGCAAATAAATAAGTGATCACTTTAATAACTTCTGATCTAATTATCTGATTATAAATTTCAAAATGCAATCTTAATGGTTCAAGTTATTGACCTTAAATATGTTAATTTATTAGTGCAGAGTATATTTTAAGTTACGAAATCTGCCTCAACAATGCAAGTTCTCTAAATAAACATACCGTTTATCAACGATTCCTAGTATCTAAAATTTGGAATATTAGATCAAAAGTTATTCAGGGTGTTCTTTTTTCTTGAACCCTGTGCATTTTTTTTAAAATTTGAGTTGAGCACATAGCTCACTCACAAAAAAAGTATGATATGGTCTCTTGTTCCATTGTTGAGAAACATTGTGCTAAAGTCTACTTACAGATTTTGAAAACTAAAATAAAAATGTCATGCCCTGTGGAATTTTTTAATTCTAAAGAAATCACACATCAGTAGTTTTAAAATACGGGTATTTTCTTTCATGTTATAAATAAACTTTAGCAATGTATAAAAAATTCTGAAATAGAGATATCAAAACCAAAAAAAGTTTATACAGCAATATAAATAATTTAACTACCGATTATTTTAAATCAGAGGAAAGGTTTCTGAGATCCTCACAAAATAAGGTTTAAAAATGTAGTCAAAATATATAATGTCTGTTTTGAGGTGTGATACTGCTAAATTCATTATACTATCAGGGATTCCTGGTAACTAAAGTTTCTCTTTTGTGTGTTCCTGGCTATCAAACATTCTGCAATTTGCGCCATATTTTTCATCCTGTTTGTTGTATAAATGGAGGTCTGTAAAAACTTTTTTTAACTGTGAAAGATGCACTTTTTTGGCTATTAAAAATATCTTTTTCATTGTTTTTCATCATTTCAACAGCGATTTTATTATTGCCCAGTTGTTGAATTTATCAGCTGAAACATTTTTTAAAAAAAAAATTATAGTCATTAAAATGCTGTAAGTTAATCAGCTTTTTTCTTAGCCATTTATTTTTGGTTTCTAAAATAACAGAATTCCTAGTGTTTTTTTAAACTAAAAAAGCTTAAGTTTGATGTAATTCTTTTTTAATGACTAATTTTCAAGACAGTTAAAAAAAGTTCTACTGATGCTAAAAAAATTTCTAAAAGGCTTAGTGTGAAAAAATTATCTGCAAATCATATATGTTTTATGACTAAACGCTTTATGCAGTTGGCATACTTTAGAATAATTTCCTGTAACAACAACCCTTAGCAACCAACAAAGTCCAATTTTTTATTTCATAAGCCACTTTTATATCCATTAATTAATAAATTCATAAAACATGGATTGGGCTAAGCTACTATGTTTCAAAACATCCTTACTTACAAGCTTTGGAGAACAAATGAGATATCTACACAAACGCGATTACAGCGCCACTGCCTTACGCCATCACAAGCCACAGAGGTGTCTACAAAGAGCTTAGCTATCCTTTGATATCTTATTTGCAAATAGGAATTACTTATTTTTTGCTTTTTAAAAATTATTCCTACCTTTAAATGTTTTCATCAGTGTATATATGAATAATAAAATTAAAAACTATTATTAAAACTTAATGAAATTAAAAGATCGTGAACTATGCAACATAAATATAGTGCAACATTGTATTACAAAACAAATCTGAATATTTCAAAAAGAATAGAATGACAATATATAATTTCCTGAAATATCTATTACAAGCATTAAATTATTTTGCTTAACAGGGAGCATTATTTAATTTATTTTCTGTATGCTGAGTTTAGTTGCTTGAAAATTAGAACTGAGGAATAATAATATTGAGCACATAAGTTTTTTTTTTTTTTTTGATTTTTCTTAAGCAGAGTTCAGGACATTTTTGCTTTTCAGAATAGATTTCATGTTAGTTTTTTTAACATTCAATATAATTTTTAATGTTCAGGAACAATTATGTTCACCAACAATTTTTGCTTTTGAGATTATATGTCAATTTTTTAACATTCAATATATTTTTTAATGTTCACAATAATTATATACAATAAATCAATAGACAACTAACTTTGGCAAATTATTTATCAAAAAATACATTTTGTATATCTTATCAATTTCTTTTTTTTAATTATTGCTTCTTAGAAGAAATTGTTGAGCTTGCTTTTCTCTTAATCTGCTTTTCAACATTAGAATTAAGAAATATGTCTGAAGATTCTTTTTCATGTACAGATCAGACGTTGATGGTTTCTTATTGAACATAAAGCTTTCTGTAATTTGCATGATTTGTTTAAATCCTTAGGAGACAAGACTGTGGATGTTCCAGGTGTATTGCAGTCCCCATCAACTACTAAATTTACAACTTTTAAGTCTTATCTGTATGCTTTGCCATCTTTTATATACATTTGTACCCAAGGCCCTTTCCAATGGAGAAAAAAAAACTTACAGGATTCTGTGATCCTACTTTGGGCATGTTGACTTTTTGCTTGCCATTTACTAATACTTTACTGTTTAGATGGCATCTAAGGAATCAATTTAATACTTTATTTATTAAATAAAAGGCTCTCCCAACTAAACTTCCATGAAAACAGCTGAGACATGCTTCAACTAATTTTCCTAATGTATGATATTTTTCTACAAGTGTAATTTCATCGTTTAACTCAAATAGTCCAATAATCAATTAAATATTTATCTTCATTGAAATTATTGGAACAATGCTTCAGCTCTTTTTTTTTATGTCAATATCAGTCTGATATGATCTTATTCCTGCCTACAAATGTGATTTTTCAGTCTAAAAACATTTGAGAGATATTAAGATAATTTTTCAAGTGCCTACATAGTACTTGTTTCGCCTTTTAAATTAGGATTCAATGCTGAGAAGCTGTTCAGGCATGAGTTTCCTTGTGGTAATTTTTCAATCATATATTCATATCATGGACATAAACTTTCAAATTTATCTGAAATAGGACGAATGTTCCCTAATTTCCTTAATATGGTGGGAATTTCATACATCAATTTGTATCCAACTGTCATGTGAATAATCGTCAATGATTTCAACACAGTCTGATTTATGTTTAATGTCTGAATCAAGTACATTAGATTGGCTGTTAAGCCAAATGGGAGGACACCTTTTGCTATAAACTACGATGTTAATATTTATTTTCATGCTTTTCTGGTAAAAAAGATCAAGCGGTCGATCATTTTTTTCTTTAGGTTCAATATTTTCCGCATTCACAAAATTGCTCAATATTTTTTAAATTCTGTTCGTGTGTGTATTGAGCAGTATCAGCAGATTTGACCGAGCTTTAAATCCTTCTCTATATATTAAGATCCATAAGCTGATAAGATCTTCATTGATGTTCTCTCGTCGTTTTCTGTTCAAGACAATTCCAGCAAAGCAAATTTTTTACACTTAGTTTCGATTTTGACAGAATGGAACTAACAATAAAAAATTTTATCTTAAAGTCAATTAAAAATTCTTAAGGATAAAAAAAAAGCCAATTTTGAACAGTTTCAGCTCAGAATTCATGTACCACTTAACATGTTTGCTGCTGATATCACTCCAATGCATGATGCTTCACTACTATTTATGAACTGGCATGAGTTCGGAAGCGAACACGTTAAAATGCATTAACCTTATTGCAAACCAGTTCCAACAAGATGAATATTTTCCATTTTGTTGTTTCAGATCAAAATTAATCTTATGAAATTTCACCTTGAAGTCATTTAAAAATACCAAAGAAAAATGCAAGACCGATCCTTAACACATAAGTTTTGAAAGTACGACACACTAAGTCAGAATCTGATATTAATTCCAAATTTAAATAGCTAATTAAAACTGCTTATTGGCATGCTTGTCAAATGCTGGTTTTGTATACAGTTCCAAAATGGTGATATCCATCTACAGCAGTGTTTCCCCAAGTGTGGTATGCGTACCCCCAGGGGTACGGGAACAGTTTAGAGGGGGTACGAGTTCTTATTCGAAATATCTTGCAACAAACGAAAATTTTAAAAATTTTTATTCGAAAACAAAGCTAGCCATGAAAATTTAAGATTACATATTTTTCTATTGGCTATTTTTTGCAGTTAATATTTAGTGGTGTCGACAGCCAGATGTGATTTGTAACTTTTGTGCATTTTTTTTTATCAATGGTACACAGCGTTAGGAAAAATTTAGAAGGGGTACAAAAAAGTCATTGATTTGGGAAACACAGATCTAGAGCGACAATATTATGTGCCTTTAAGTTTGTGCATTAATCAAACATGCCCAGACTGTCATCTTACTTGATACAAAATATATTAGACAGTTGTGGCCAGCACATNAAATACATTCATTTTTTTTATCAATGGTACACAGCGTTAGGAAAAATTTAGAAAGGGTACAAAAAAGTCATTGATTTGGGAAACACAGATCTAGAGCGACAATATTATGTGCCTTTAAGTTTGTGCATTAATCAAACATGCCCAGACTGTCATCTTACTTGATACAAAATATATTAGACAGTTGTGGCCAGCACATTCTCCTAATCTTTCACTAATTTAATACTTTTAGTCAATGTTTGTAGAGAGATTGGCTCACCACCAAGCACTACTTTCACTGACATATATGCTAAATCTTGAAGCTGTGTTGAATAAATGCCATACAATCTCTAACTCTCTGCCGAATTATATGATTGCCATTATTTTTGCTAGGGGTGATAACTTTAGATAATGATTTTTCAGGATCTTAATTTCCTGTAAATTTAATCAATTGCACTTTCCCCTATAATGCAATTTTAAGGCAGGAATTTTGAACCTTCCTTGAATTATTCAACTTAATATGAGTTTACTGTTAAGTTTTACAAAAAAGGAAATTCCTCAAAGCGCAATTGTTGCAATTGCTTTGCACCTGTAGAATTTCTTTTCAGTCTATGTTTTAGCATAAGGATCATACTTTATATCACTGCAATTTAATTTTTTCTTATAAGCTGGTCAATAGAATTTCCAAATTACTTAAGTTTTATTACCTTCAATAAATTTTGTAAACCCCCAGCTTAAATATTTCTGGAAATATGGATTTCTTTTTTGCTATAATAAAATGAAAGAAAATTGCAAAAGATATGAATGTTTAAAGTAGTTCTTTCATACTGAGTAAGCGCAGAAAGAATTTAGAGAATGTCAGAATGGTTTTATACATCCAATTTGTTACCGTGCAAAAGAAAGTCTGATTTGACGATTTTTTTTTTCAAAATTTTTGCTTTTTGTTAAATACTTTTTTCAAATATAGCAAAATAATATAGTTTAGTTTTTTTTTTTTAAAGCCATACCTCTATGAATATTTCGTGACTTTTTTCATTTCACTAAGACAAATACATTTTCAATTTTTTCTTTTAGCATTTAAAATATGTCAAACTAAGGAGAGATAAACAAGTTAATCAAATTTTATTAGTTTATTTACCAAACTTTACAATGAATCTAAATATGTGTACAACACTGTAAAAATATACATAAAATGTTTATATGATGGAACACCTTATACAATAGTCATTACTCTGATCATTCCAATAAACCCTTTTTACAAATATCATTCATTTAAAGGGAAGTTTTAGGTAATTTTTCAAAAATTTCTTTAGAACATAATAATTTCAATGACTTAAACTATTTTGGTTATCTTGTTACTTATTATAACAGAAGAGTCACGGTAATACTCCTTAAAAAAACAAGGCAAACTTTTACAACACATGAAATAAATAATTTTTTAAACAAAAAGCAAAATAAATTTTAACATGTACTACAAGAAAGCTATTTTTACAATAACACGGAATAGAAAATAATAATAATCGTAAATAATACAACAGAGTCTAAGAATTGTGTATCTTTTCCCAGCAAGCTTGATAATGCGAATCATGCATTATGAGAGTCTGTAAAACATCACGTTTTCAAACTTGAAATCAACAGGAAACACTAGAACTTCATGAAATTTACTGAGGATCTATAAAGAGAGAAAGATTATTGACGGTCTCAAAAGAGCTATAAATCACATTTTCAAGAACTGAAATTAAAGTGTTGCATATTTTTACTCTCCAGCTTTTACAAGAATTCATCCCAACTCTTATCGGTAGTTATTGTTGTAACAAAAATCGGTCAGTTTTAAAATGGGAAATTCCAACTTTGTCGTAAAGCCATGCAGTTCTTAAATTTCCAATAATATGACACTCTAATTTATTATAAATATTTGGTTTTTTGGTAGTTGTTGGTACCAATTTCAACACCGTTACTACCACACTACAATTTCAAATCGCGCATTTGTAATGATCACCTTTTGACATACTTAATTCATGTGGTCTTGTCTAATGACAGTTATTGCAGCCAATTTCCAAGCGATTAATAAAATCATTACACTTACTTCGGCACGCTAATTTCAAATTTGAGCATTAACTCCCTAATGCACTTATTTTGCGTAGATTCTATCATATTTCACACTGCCCCCTAAATTTTTACTTAAAATTCTGCAATTTTTAAAACTGTATGTTATTAGGAAATGTAAATTTCCATTTGAGCAATCACTTCAATTCACACAGATTCGTATGTCTAGTCGTTTATCATTTTTCTGGTAGTTATTCCTACGAATTTCTTCTACGGATAAAAATCTTGTTATTTATGATCTGATATATTTACAACATTCAAATAGCTAATTTTAGTATTACCTTTTTAAAATGTTTGATTCAAGCCGATTCCATGCACCATATATCTACATGACTTTGTCAATCGATTTTCGGCAGTTATTACAAACAATTTTCACGTGATTCTCAATGCTTTAATTTGACATTATGATGTAAAACGAACTTTGAATAGCGCAATTGATTCATAATTTTATGATGTACTCCTTTAGAAAAGATCTTGTTGGGAAAAGACCCTTTTCCCCTACAGTCAATGAATTACAGAGTGATTTACCCAGTTGCTGGACTCAGGAAACAAAGCTCTTACAAAAATAAATATTTATTTTATGACTGTGAAACATGAATTAAATTACAAATGATTAGAGGAAAAGTTAGCATACTGATAGCTACATTTAACAGAGACCTATGTCAGAGCAGTCTCCACTTCCGGAAGAATCTTACATAATAGTAGATTTAAAAGAACAAAGTAAGTATTCTGGTCCAATCTCGGCCTTTAAACATCAATATTAGATTCTTGCATAAATTATTGCACAAGTAGGTGAATAGTTGAGTAGTAACTGGCTTCTCCCATGAGGAAAACATTGTCTTACGAGCATGGTTTGTAATCACTTCCAATGAACGCCAGAGATTGAACTATTTGACGTTGTCTGTCATCTCTTTTCTTAACTAGATGTAAATGAGGAGCATACGCTGTTATCTATCATATTTCCAACAGATCTCAATATAAATGCACATGGTTTTATTGATTGCACTTTCAAGTTTTATCAATGTGTTATACTATGGATTTTCACAAAGTTTTTAAGGGCCCAATGTTTTGTGATATTTTGTCTGACAAATCTCAAAACATGCGCTTCAAGAATCCCTTTTTTGGGCTCTCGATTAGCAAGGATTTAACTGCTTATTCATGTAGTCATGACATTGATTGTTATAGCTAGGAATTTTCACAAGACTTTTAAAATTTTGATATTTTAATGCTATATTATTTTGTATTGTGAATTTAGAATTGCACATTTAAAGACTTCACTACAGGGTTTGTTGATATAAATCAAATGATTTTTTTTTTTAAATCATTGATTTTTTATATATATATATATATATATTGATTTTAAGAGTTAAAAAACAGTGTTTTAAATTATTGATACTTTTATTACTTTCTTTTCTTAGTTTTAAAATTTATTTTAAATTAATTGCTGCATTAATTAATTTTAGTTATTGAAATTACAGTTTTAAAAATCTTTTGATTCTTGAGATTGAAAGTACAGATTAAAGTACACATTTAATGCTGTCTTAATATAGACTTGCATAGCTGTAGAAAGTAATTAATAAACATGAATTTTTTCTAAAAAAATGCAAATAATGTTAATTAAAATTCTCCCTTTGGATTGAAAAAGCATGGAATTGAAATCCACGTGGAAAGTGTATTTTTCTAAAGCTTGAGGTTATATTAAAAAGAAATTACCCTAATACGCCAAAAATAAATAAGAAGAAAAAAGGCTGATGAATTCAGATAATTTTTTCCTGATAGTGTCATTCTTCCCTTTCAAAGTCTATTTGAAGCAGTAGAGTTATTAACTGGTAACTGATATATTTTTCTCTTAATATGTTTACAGTATCTTTGACATTATCAGATTTTCTATAAAGAAATTTTGTGAAAAAAATTCCAATTAGTACATAGATTTTTTTAATTTTTTTTTTTTAGCTTAACTTATCTATTTTGATAAAGGATTAAAAATGAATATAAAAATATGTAGATTAAATATTTATTTATTTTTTTGATGAATGACAACATTTATAAACACAATCTGTTACATTTATTTTGTCATATTAAAAATCAAGCGAGAAAAAATAGCAATTTTAAATTAAAATAATGGTTTGCTAATTGAAACTTTGTTTCAATAGTTTTTACTACCACTTAGAGGTACCTTCACAAAATACTTTTTCTTAAAATTTTATGTTTCCATCTCGTAAGAAATAATAAATCCATAATTTTATGCTGATTTTTTAATATAATTTTTAATTTTCACAAATTATGTCTAAAGATTCACAAAATAAGTACCTCTCAGAAAAACCAAGACAGACCCCTGTAGTATTCTTTAAATTCTCTATTTTATCTAGTCTTTAAATTTCAATCATGCATTTGTTTCAAAATGGTTGCTATGCATTCAAAGCTATGTATTATAATGAAAAATTATTTTAGTAAGTTAGAGCTTCTAAAATACTGTTATAATATAGTTTTAATATTAATTTAACTTTGATTAAACATTTATAAAGGTTTTTTTTAATTATGAATTAAAGTTCTTACAATGTATTTGAATAAAAATCAAAAGAAATCAAATTTAAATAAAAAAAAATCAGTTTTTTTTTAAATCAGAAAAATTATTAACCCTTCTTTGCTACTATTCTATTCACTATAATCAGAAATAAAAGCAAAGTGAAAACATTTTAAAACTTCTACAAGAATTAATGTTAAAATAATTTTTTTTTTTTTTTTTTTAGAAAACTTTTAAGATATTTTAGTTAAATTTGAAATTTTCAGATAAAGAAAAATAAANTGGATAGCCCGGTACCCTAATAACGAAATTTAACACCGTAAATTGTTTTTAGAATATTTTCAAAGAAGTAGAAATAATTAATAATATTTACAAGGATGCTATAATTATCTACAATATATTATTTTTATTAGATATATTTACAATATATCTACAATATGTTATATATTATTTTTATCTTTCTAATAAACTATAAGAAAGATAAAAATAATATATAAAGAAGTTTGATATAAATACATAATTATGGATGTAGCTACCGATAAATAAATATGATTTTCCTATTAGCATAGATACTCAAGTTAGACATATGATACCGAATAGGAGCTTTCTGTCCTCAATCCGTTTCAATTATGTATTAGGTTTACATCCCCTTACACCTACTTATCATTTGATAGGGAACATGGTTAATACCTTCTTGAAAAAAAACTTCCATTGATTCACAGAAAAAAAAAGGAATGCATACTTGTAAGTCAGGGGGACCTATGGAGTTGATTATTCACAACTGATCAGCTATCAAGTGTCTGAATAAATGTTTCATTTATATAAACACCTCAAAGATAATACTTCTGTTCTCCTTTTTTTACCCCAGTTGTGTTAAATACAATCTTCAAATTGATAAGAAAATTAAAGAAATTGTTAATGGGGAAGAAGCATTGAGAGATGTCATTTCAACTTGAGGGGTCTCATAACCTGTGTGATCCAGATGAAAAGATGCCGATGTCAGAATAATTTCAGGAGTGCAGTACCATTTTCTCTACTTTCTTTACAAAGATAAGGCAAAGTGACAGGAGAAAGATTGATTTTTCAGTGGTGAAATAGCCTAACAATATTTTTAGCTATGGATAGGCAAAAAATTTTATTTACATGCTTTAAAAATGGTGAAAAGTTGCATTTTTTTAGCTTGCAATTTAAAGCAGAAATAGTTCCTTTTTCAAATTTAGAAAAAGTGGTGTTTGGTTTGTAGAGATAGAAAACAACGTTTCAGGACCAAAATGACTGTCCGCGTCCGGTTACGGGAGTGTCCACTTTGCGGAGAATGTATATAATGGTTTATTCATAGAAGATTCCCGGGGAATTAAAAATATGTTCGTATTGAGAGGCCCCCGTCTTGCAGGAGTGTCCACAACAGGAGGTTTCACTGTATTATAAAAAATTTAACTGGAAAAAAAAAATTTTATACCTACCCAGGCTTATTAGTTTTGGAAAAATTCAAATCAAACTTTTATTGGAAAAATTCAAATCAAGATTTATGTGCAGAGTTCATAACTACATACTTGTATTTATTAATTTTTGTTTACAAGGCAAACATAGATTAGTGTAACCTACTATGTCACATTAATTCTGCAACTGGGGTTGTCAGTAATAAGAAGGGGTTAGTACAGAACACTTTTCAGTTACTCTAGAAAATTACTGCTTTAAATATCAAATAATGCAGATTAAATTAGATGAATCAATGCTTATGTTAATGGGCTAAATAATACATCCATAATAAAAAAAAGTATTATTTTAACATACCCCTGTTATCAGGATTAGAAGGATTTGGGTTTCTTGTTGCATTTTGCCTAAACTGTTCAACAAGATCAGGATTCGCAGCATGCAATTGAGCAGCAAGATAATGGCTTCTAAAAAGAAACAAATAAAAATGACTAAATTATAGGTAAAAAAAATTATAATACATATAAAAAAAAGCATTTTATATTAAATCATTTAAAAATAATAACTAGCACAACTACTTTAAATAACACAATTTAATTCATTTAACACTAATTAGTGCTCCAATAACTAATTTTTTTTTTTCTTTTTTGGTTATTTCTAGAGAAATGTTTGGAGTGAGAACACTTCTTTCCTCTATACATGTCATATAAATGATATAAAACACTTGTTACTTAATATCTTTTTAGATTAAAATTTTATTCATTTCTTTTTTAAGAGCTTAGAGAGAACAACCAAAGTAACATTCACAGAAATGTAGTTCAGTGCAATTTAATTATCTTGTGCCTCAATTATAATCCTTGCTACCCTTAACAGCAAGCAAGTTTTCTGGTGTCTTGCATTTTCAATTGCAATAAATTTATAAAAAATTAAAGTATCTTTATTTGTGTAATTTTAATAATCACAAAAACCTGGGCATTTCAGAGATTCAGAGAAATCATAAATTTTTAAGAGATTATAATTATTTTTTGGGGGTAGGATGCTAAAAAAGAACAATATATTAAAATGTGCAATACAACAAACGCTTACAGGGTATTGCAATCAATAAAGAAAACATTTAAATTACAAAATGATCTGCTATAATATAACATTAAGATAGGATATAATATACATTTTCCTAAAAAGGTTTGAATGAATGTTAATTAAATTCTCAAATAAATTAAAAACTACTTTAAACAATCAACAGCTGACAGAAAAAAAGTTTTGATTAAATGAATGGGTTTATTTATACCAGGTCTTCATGATTTGAGACTCACATATTGAAAATATAGTAAAATGGACATTACATAATCAGATTTTCTGATCTAGCAGTTAACTATGATTGACAAAAAAAAAAAAAAGCTTATGAAAAAATAAATCAAAATAAAAGTCTCTGAGTTGTTGTGTACATGGTTTACTTGATATGACAAATCTCTTATTATGGGAGTGGCATTTTCAAAACTAAACAAAAACTGCTTTTGGCTTAAGTAAGTTAAAGTTTCATTAAATTTGGAATATTTTTTTAGTCACATGGATCACCAGATTGGGATTGTGTTGTGATTGTTACTGAACCAAGTGATATTTATCTCAAAGCTATTATTTTATTACTTCATAAGATTGCCATATGTTTTGTATTTCTTTCAAAATTTTCCGCAAACATAGGGGTTTTATTTGCACACATCAAACAGATTTTCTTCTGATTAAAATCTCTTTCACAGTAAAACCTATTATCTTTTTGACAGTATTGAAATAATGATTTTTTAAATGCCATTCTACAAATAAACACACCACAATCTATTTGAGAAACAGCATATTTTATCACTTGAGAGAACATACTAATCAAAAATTTTAATATTTATTATAGTTTTTCATATAGTAGACCTTAAGTTATAGAATATTATTTATCACTATTAAGATACTTTTTTTAGAATTTCTGTATGAATTTTAAATTGAAATTTTCTTAGACAAATGCAGTCCTTACGGTTAAAAAATACCCTGCCCATATCCAAGATTAATTTGCTTAGTTTTAACACTGGTAAACGTTCAGTAAAAAACTCACCATTAAGTTTCTGAAAAAGTAAATGCCATTAAATGGTTCATATTTTTAAATGTAATTCAATGTAAGTATAAAAAAAACTATTCCTTTTAAATTCTAGATATCCAAGATTTAAATATTGCACATTATAATATTTTACATTAGATATTCATATTAAGCAGGGCCCTAAATGTTAGTTTATTTATTAGCATTTTTTTTAAAGCAAAATATCAAATATTTTGTTAAATATTCATAATAGGTAAGTAACATTTTATAAAAGAAAATAATTTTCAATGACATTGAAACATAAAAAATTATCCCTAGAAAATGCAACTTACGCTTCAAGTAGCATATCAAATCTTCTATCTGTAGGGTTAGCAGTAGATCCACTTGCTCCACCATCTCCACTTCCATCAGTCGGTGGGGGTTGTTGATTTAAAGAGTTCATTCCAGCTGAAAGTCTGTATATATAACAGAAAAATTTAAAATATATATTTTTTTTAAAGAGTAAATCCATTTACAATAAAACATAAGGGTTGTCCAAATAAAAAGTGGTTAACTTAGAAATAAGTAATACCTTTGTAGGAAATTTAAAAGAAATTACCATAGCATGGTAATGCTAACCCCATTATGTTGCTCACAGGTTAACGCCTTTGCTATAAAATGCTTTTTTTAAAAAAAAAAAAAAAACAAGCATGAGAACACACAGTTCAAAAAACAGATGAAAAAATTGGAATTAAAAATTTAAGATTTTTATGTAATACACCAATTTGATGATCAACGATGCAGAAAACAAAAAAAAATTTATAAAGTGACATAAACTATAGTGACATTTGATTAAAAATTTTATTTCTTTAATTTGTGAAATTTTACTCATAAGTACTGGTAATACTTAACATAAAGCAGGGTAATGAGCTTAGTCAATTTTCTGATAAATTTATGTTTACCCATTTTTTCTGACAATGGATTTTTGGCAGCATAGTTTCATATAGTTTAAAACTAACTAATGTAACTTAAAATATCATTTGAGCCATTAAGATTGAGTCTGAGAACGTTAAGATACAATCATTAGATCAAAATTTATTCAGGGCAGTTCGGGTTTTGCTTGTTGCACTGCATATGAAATTTTGATTTGTGCATTTTAAAAATCACTTTTTACAAGCACTGGGTTATTGACGATTCACCCCTAAGCCCATGTGGTTTTTATCTTTCATATTTTCGTTATTACCATTCATTATTGATTTCTTGATTTTTTTACTGCTACATTGTTTTGTACAAGTAACTTTGAATCATCATTAGAAGCACTCGATTTGCAACAATTTACTCCCCAGTTGGTTTTATTGATCACATTTTAAACATGTACTGCTTGGAATACACCATAATCTCAATGTCCCAGATTTCACTTCTGTGATATCCAATTTTTTTTATCATAATACCGCAGAAATCACATTAAAATCAAAACAAAAATAGGAAGTTAGGTAAAAATCATTAAAGAAACAGAAATTAACACTCAAGATTATCCTTAGCACTGAGAATTCTCATACCTGGAGAAAGGAATGAGCTGATTTCTTTTATTTTGATACTGAATTAAAATTTTTACCTAGTTAAGATTGATTAATTGACCCAAAAGTGTTACAATAACACCATATTTGGAGTCATTTGTAATTTAATGAAGACTGAGTTTCATTGAAAATCACATTGTTTACTTACACTCATATTGATACCCCTCCTTTTACATGAAAACTTTTAGATCATTCTTTTCACAGCTAATATTTGTCATAAACAGACACATTCAAGAAAAAATATCCATACTAAGCTCAACTTCAGCTGCTAAACACTGTAATACTATACATTCTGTTCTGGTTACAACGTTTTTTAGCATGATGATCACACAAACTGATTAATCAATCAAAAGTTATCTGTAATGCACCACTCCTTTGAACGTGTTATAAAAGAAGCCTTTCAATCACTGATGAACTTCTGACAGTATCAAACATTTTGTATTTGGACAACACTTATGTATAAAAATTTAAAAAAAGATTCAATTAGCAAAAAAATACATCAAAAACTATCAACTATTACCAAACATTTTTGCAAAGATTAAAACCGTAGAGATTAGAGAACAAAGAAGTTGTTATCTTCCACAGACTAATACATAATCTGCCCTAACCAAGTTTTCATTAATTTCAGATCCACAAACCTGACATGCAATATCCTTAATCATTTTAAATATCAACAATATTTTTGCAATTTCCATTTTGGAATATAAACATAAAACAGCTCAAAATATTCACTTCTGATTAAAGAGAACATTAAAATTCAATATATATTTATTTTTTTCCCTGGTCACAGCTTGCTTTACTCTCTTTTTAAAAAAGGAAGAATGCATTTCATTAAGTTTTACACTCACTACACAGTTAAGAGGGACAAGAGAGAGGTGATTGTAAAGAGGGACAATGGATATGCAAAATCGAAAAAAAGAGAGATTTTACATTCGAAATTTTGATGAAATAGTTACATTTTATGGAAAATATTAGTGTGCTTTTTAGTCATTGTTGATATTCTATGTGAATTTTAAATATTTTTCATACACTTTTGCCGAAATACCCTGACCCCTAAAGCAGAAAGTGCCCATAACAACAATCAATTCAAAGTAGCTGGTGAAAAACTTACATTTGGAGAAGTAAAAACAACTGAGAAATCTGTTCTCTAAATTCAGATTTAAAAAATTTAATAATTTTGTGCATTTTAGAAAACAATTGATTGAGTGCTTGAACTCTTCATTCTAATAAATTTTTAATATGAGAAAAGTTAAAATATGCATATTTCCCACGATGTTACAATAACAGAGTATCCTAAGAAAGCCTACTGATTTTATTGCGCAAAAGAATCATCTTTCTGCTATTAATATGATGGTTTAGAGAAAAAAATTTCATTTAACTAAAGTTTGTGCAGTTGATGTGTTATGTATGTGCAGATAGCCAACAGCAGTTATGGAGAGAAAAGGAAGTCAAACTTAAATGGTATCATCAAATTTCTGAAGAATATCTTCAAAATTATAAATTAACCAACATTTATTTTTAAAGGAATTGTTATATTGAATGAAATATAATGGCAAAAATTTTTTGTTTAACACATTCAGTAATGTTACTTTAAGTTATATCACTCTTCTGCTAGTTGTTTAAAAAATGTAATTACTTAGTAAACTCTCAAACTGGAATTGATTTAATATCCTGTTCAGTATTGTAAGATAACTCAATATTCTGTTTAATATTGTAATTTGGTTTGATATTTTTTAATCAGAAAATCTGCCCACTATTTATGGAGAGAATTAGTAAAACCCGAAAATCATCTGAATTTTTAAACACAATAAGAATTTTTTTTTTTTTTTTTGGTTTCATTGTATAAGCCTTACACATTTGTAATTAATGGTAAAAAATTTTGTTAAAACTTATTTATTGGAATCACTTTATAATTACAATATGAAGAAATGAAATAATTGAACTTACGCATTAATAATGCTTTGATCTTGCATTAAAGTGGAAGCCTGAAAAAGATATTTAATATTAAAATAAGACTTCAATTTAACTATCATAACATAATTAATAATTCTATTCAAGCAATTTCTTAATTAAGTTTCTAAATAAAAGGAAATTAATTAATTTACGTAAAAAGCTGAACTTGAATAAAGCACAAATAATGCCACTAAAAAAAGCATACTACAAATTCGATTCTATAATTAAGAACCTTCCTTAGAGTTAAATCACAGAGCAAGAAAAGGAAACAGGGACACACAGAAAACAACTTTTTAAAAACATAACAAGTTGAAGATAGGGAAAAGTAGTCCATAGAATATGGGAGTAAGCTCGAACAAAATAATCAAGCAAAAGGGAGATATGTGGTGGGGATAGGGTAAGAACCCAAGATAAGCAAATTGTAGAAATAAAAAAAATCAAATTTCCAAACATTAGAAAAATATGACATACTAGAAAGGATACATACTGAAATTATTAGAATTTTTTAAAACATGAAAAAATTTCACTTAACGAGAACTCAAGGTCAGTAGCTGAAGAGCACTTTTAAATAATTTTAGAAAAATTTCAATGATGTAGAGCTATGGAAGATTGTATAGTACCCCAATTTTGAAATTTCATTGTGTTCTTTTGGTTAAGGTATAAATCAAGATTATTTTATTCGTTATTTTGCTGCCACTTTAAACATTGTGGGGTGCAAGAATGGTCTTAAGGGTGAAATTTATAAGCTCACAAGAGGAGTAAATGACTAAGCTCAAATTTATTCAAAATTTTGGTGGCTTGAGTATCTATTCTAACATAAGGAAAACCAATAAATTTATAAGTTGGAATTAAAGAGTTTATTGGATTGCATTATTGATTTTCTGTAGATAGAATCAATAATATTAGAAGGAAATCTATGGTCAATAGCAATAGCTTTTAAGTAAAAAGAGTTTTTCAATAAGGAGACTACTATTAAAACAAATATAGACATTTCAAGAAATGTAAAAAGGGCAGTTATCTTTTGATTAAGAGGATGGGATGAGAGGTTATAAGAGGGAGTGAAACCACTAATAATTTATGATAAATGGGAGTGAGGAATTCATTATAATAAGTAATAAGATCTTCCCAGAAAGGTAAACAATTTTAATTTTCTTGTTTAAATGTGAACTGAATGCAAGTATCGAGAAAATTTACAATATTAAGAACATGATAAAGTCAACATTGTCCTTTAATGTGAAGCAACCATCAACCTATCATCCATGAAAAAGTAAATTTGATAAACCAAAAAGAATTTCAGTTCATAGTAGTGCATATACACAGCGATTCCCGAATGGTGTTTGCGGAACCCTAGGGTGTCTTGCAAGAGTAAAAGAGGTTCCGAAAGTTAGTACTTTCTATAACTAGTGATGAATTTTAAAACCTCTAATTATATTTGATACAATCATAATTCAAAATTTATTTCATCTTTTGGTTGCCTTTATGAAATTATTTCAAGCAAAATGCTAATGAAATAGAAACTGTGTTTTTTAAAAGAAAATATAATATTCCTAATAATAATATTTTTAACAAATTAAGAAAAGACGAAGTATTTATAAAATATTGCATAAGTATTTCCTGTAATGCTTTTTAAATCAAAATAAAATAATTAGATTCTTTACTAAAAAAATATGTTTACAGCAGTTCTTTTAAGTTTTCACCTCAGAGTAAACCATAATTCAGTTATTTTATTTAAGTTCAGCTTATGTATATACACTAAAAATAAATTAATAACTAGACTGGATATAATGCAAGGACTGCAAATTTAAATGTCAGATATAAAACCCAATTTAAGATTATTAAGAATAAAATGATAAAAAAAAATATTCATTTCTCTTATTAACTATCTTAAAAATAGTCCTTAATAGGTCATAATGTTCACTATTACCTTAATAAACTTTATTTATAAAGTCATGGTTCCACCAAAGAAGTTTGATTATTTAGGGTTTTGTATCCAGAAAAAAATCTAAAATCGCTGCATATACAGATCCCTTAACTAATTAAGTAGCTGAGAAAATTACTCATAATTAAGCCATCAATAATTTTAAAAAATCTAACATTAAAAATGAAAGTAAATGCTCTAGGCAAGAGTGTGTAACATGTACTATTTCATTCCTTTCAACTTCTCTGGAATTCTTGTAATCGCATTTTAAGACAATTAAAAGCACCAATAACACGAATGTTAGAGAAAGATTTTACATCAAAAGAGACCATTGTTTTTTATAAGGTTTATCTTGAAACTCATTTACAAAATCATACAAGATTTTTTTCTCATAAAATAATTACTAAATAATTTAAACACATTATATGGCTAATTAATAAGAAGTTGTACCAATATTTGAAACAATGGGTTAAAAGGAAGTACCAACCAGCCTTATGAACTTTAGATAAAGCATAAAACCTAGCACAGTGTGAATAATTGGATAAAGGGGAATATTTCAGACAATCATGAATAAGTAATTTTGATGGTAGATTCATTAACTCTTAGATCCAGGCATGAAAGTGGACAAAAATAAAAAAAGATGAACTTTTACAATGAAGGTCACTGGGAGGAGGGGAGAGTTCTACATGATACTGTGATATCGATGAGATATATAAAAGCAACTTTTAACTATGCTGGGAGATTTTTATTTAATTTTTAAAGTGGCAGAAACATTTACACAGTTAACATTAAATTTTTCTTAAATATAATTTTAAAACTTTGACCACTACTATATTAAAGAAAATTAAGCAATCATAGGAAAGTGAGACTATTAAATTACTTACTAATGAAAAATATCACATCTTTACAGTAACTAATTCAAGAGAAAACTTACTTCTACTTCTTTCAAGAATCGCGATATTGGGTTTTAGAATCACGTGAATATGAATCGCGATACTGGATTTTAAAGTCGCGTGAATATGATTCGCGATATTGGGTTTTAAAATTGCGAGAATATGAATCGTGATACCGGATTTTAAAATTGGGTGAATATGAAACGTGATATTGAAATTTAAAATCTCGTAAATATGAATTACGATTTTGGATTTTAAAATCACGTGAATATGAATCGCAATTTTGGATTCTAAAATCACACGGATGACTCGAGCTGTTGGATTTTAAAAACACGAAAATACAAACTGTGATATTGAATTTTTAAATCGCATAAATAAGAATCATGATGCATAATTTTTAGATCACGTGAATACGAATCGCAAAGAGTAATTTATAGCGTACAAATACGAAAAACGATATCTGATATTACAACTGCGTGATAACGAATCGTAATATTGGATTTAAAAATTCGTGAATACAAATCGCGATGGATTTTAAACTCGCAGGAATACAAATCGCGATATTGGGTTTTTAAAAACGCTTAAATACAAATCAGGATATTGTATCATCAATCATTCCCTTCCTCACCCTATACATAGTTGTTTCTTTTCAATCATAGCTCATTGAAAAGGAGTGACTCATTGAACACCTGTTTTCTTATCATCTGACCCTAAAGCAGGGAGAGTCATTACCTCCAGCTTCTCACAATAGGAGTCATCATGTCTGTTGATTGCTTAGTCCAGGAGAGTTAAAAACAAATAAGTTTATTTGTCTTCTTTGATTCTTAGAAATCTCTTAAAGTAAGGGGACTGCAGAGCTCCTATTCTTCCTATTATCTCTGTATCCCTTCTTTTTTTTCCTGTTTATTTTCTACTTTTTCTTGTTTTTTTAAAAATTATCTGTCATTTCTGCTATTCCCCTTTTTAACATAGTGACAGCTAAGAAAGGGGAGTAATAACTCAAGGTCAAGTATTACAACTGCACCTGTTTTTCAATTCATTCATTTTGAATGGGTGTGAGGAGAATGCAAAACATGATAGATCATAAATTCTCTTTATTGTCAGCTTCTGTGTGGGCTTGCCATTAACTGGAGTGGAGGAGAAATAAAATCGCTCAGCTTAAAGAGGAATAAGATAGTGATATGTGTGTTTGTCCTTCTGATTTTGATTTATGTTTTAGCAAAATGTTGAAACCAAAGTTAAAATCTTCTAGATAGTAATTGCCTGCCAGAATCATAGCAATATTGTCGCAGAACGTTAGTTTTTTTGCAGAAAGATTTGTCCTTCAGGAAGTAAAAAAATTTTTAATACTTTTCTGCAGAAATTTTCGAAAGCATTTTTTTTCATCCAGAATTATATTCAAACGTTGTCTTTCTCGCGCAGAGGAGGGGAAAGAATGCTCATGATTTTTCCATTTTCATTTGTTAATAATGAAGTAAAAAATGGAGTGGATGGTTTTGAGTCCTGATGCAGACAACGACGAAGTAGAAGAAAGCGACGATGAAGATGGAGCCTATCTCCCTTTTTTTTCCCTCTTACCTTTTTTGTTCATTTTACATTAGGCCTGTATATATTTTTATTTCATTTTTTTTCCTTTTTATCTTATTAAACTTTATGTATTACTTTATCGTTTTTTCTTCTTTTTAAGATAATTTCTAAATAATTTTGTTTCTTAGTTTGGTTTGACAATAAAAATTCGGTGATTCAGAAAACCGGAAAAATCAGTTATCAGGAATAGCGATGGTCCCGATTGTTATAATCGGTTCCCTACTGTACATTCTTTCATCATTTGAATTAATTTTAATACTATATTAGTCTATAAGCAAAAAATATGAAGTTTATCACCCTTATTCTAGATTTTTTACGGATATTTTTTCCAATCAAATTAAAACTAAATTGTTATTTACCACTAAATTTAACAAAAATTTTATTTTTAAATACTTACATTAACTCTTTGAGAACTGTTGATTTTGAAAACATAAAAAAATAATAAAAATTAAGCAATAGAAGAAAAATAAGAGTCTAATAATCATGATAATAATCATGACATATAATAATTTAAGTAAATGATCATTGATTTTTTTTAATGAACTAATCACTGATTTTTTTTTTATCTATTTGCCGTTCAAAATATAAAAGTTAGAAACATAGGTCATTTTAACAGCTGAGATAGTCAGTAAAAATGAAACTTAAAAAATAAGCTATTTTATAATTTCTTACTTTTCACATTTTTTTAATATATCAATTATGAAACCAAAAGTGCAAAATCAGTGTATAGGGAAATACTTTAAATTTCAAAATTGTAGTAGAAAAATTAAAGTAAAAAAAAAACACACAACTAGTAACACAAACTAGCAAAACACAAAAAAAAATAAAAACAACAAATAAAAAACCAACACCAGATTCAGCACACAAGAACTCAACATCAAACATTTGATTCACTACAATTACAGAAAATTTAAATTAGAAGACGTCATGGTTCGATACGTGCAGCATTCCAAACGTTTTTAATCATGCATGCCCAATCCACAATTAAAGCAAACAATAAGAGAATAGCAATGAAAATGGATACAACCTTTAATGGAACAAGAACAGGATATAATAACTATGAACTAAAAGAAATCAAATTTAAAGTAAACTGATCACCAAAGCATGTTAGAAACTCTAACTCAAAAGCAAGAAAAAACTAAACAAGGAAACAAATACAAAAGGTAAGTCACCAAGGAAACAAAGGGTTATGGAACCAACATTTATCTAAAGATAAAACTCTATGAGACAAAAGGAAAAAAGAAAGAGTATCGGGCCCCTCAGGAAGTTGAAACCAGTATTTACCTAAAGGTAAATTCCCTGAGCAATAAACAACAGAAAGATTATTTAAAATTGTTAAGACTTTACTTACCATATTTCTAAAAGCTGGATTGCTAAATATGTTTCCCCAGTCTATATTTAAACCAGACATACCTTGCTGAAAATAATTTTTGGAAATTAATAATTTTAAAGCGTCACTTCTTTTATAAATACAAAATAAATATAAAACATAATGCATATTTATTATACAAGCAAGTTGTCAGTCTAGTTTTTAAAAATAAAACTGTTTTATAATATTATGTATGAAATATTTCATTACATAGCCTGCCTTGCTAAGTACTTTCAATACTGATCTCATGCTAAAAAACTAATTGTGCATCACAGGGTGTGGCCTTAACATTCAGTTTCCCATTCATTTGGTAGGCAACAGGTAATCAATGTTTTCAAGAAATGTTAAGATCAGTATTTTAAAGTATTAGAAAAAAATTAAAATAAATAAGCTAACTTAGTAATTTCAGTCCTTTCATAAGTTACTTTTAAATTTAGAGACATTTTTTGGTTCCTTTTAGAGAAATTATTCTAATTTCTTCTATTTTCCAGAATCATAGGAACTTCAGGTTATAGATGTAAAAATCAGTAATTAATCTAAAAACCAATGTTTAGTATTAAGTGTTCATTCTAAAAACTCCAACCATAAAACTTTACTGGAACTATATACTATAGCAGGGTTTGCACGGTCTGGAAAATTTTATTAAAGCAATAGCAAAAATGATATATATATAAATAGATGTTTCAAACTATCAATAAATATTTAATTTAAAAGAAATATATATGGGTGTAAAAAATAACTCAGAAATAATTTTGTTATTCACAAATGAAAGATAAATTTAAGCATTTTTCAATAAACTTAAAAAATCTTAGCTACCACTAATTTATTTTTTCCAGGTCGTGGGAACCTTGCCATAAGTATGATCACAGTGTAAATGCTAATAAAACATTGTAATTGTAGACTGTTTTAAGTTAAAAATTAACAGTATCTTTTCATTCTTTTATTTTTTTGTAATTCTGCTTATTTTTCAGATTAAATCTGAACAATAAAAAAAAAATTTATGTTTTTCGTTTAATTAAAGCTTAATATTAAATATGACAAAATGTTTATTCCTAATAAAACAAAAAATTCCTTCAACTTTAATTTATTTTAAAAAAAATGTAAGTATCAATAATTGTATGACTAAATTTAAGTAATTTTCAATTCAAGAACCCTAAAAAGTATGGTTTATTAGTATATAATTTATCAAAAAGCAATTTTAGCGATTTACAGGGTAATTTTGACTAGATTGTAAGTTATGTAACATTTCGTTTTTAATACTAACCTGAAATATAAGATAGATTTAATAAGTTACGTGTAAACTTACGTGTTTCAAACATTTCTAAACATTGGTAACAGAGGGGAACATAATGCAAATTCACGTTAATGTTTTATATTTTAATTTTATGCTCAAAATAGAAAAGTGCACTACAGTTTTAAGTTTTATGTGCAAGATATATTACAACTGCAGCTGAATTTTTTATAAGTAGCATGGTGAATATTTAACAAAAAATTTTCTAAATGCCTCTTTACTTAAAAAATTACCCTAATATAAATTATGTAATGTTCTAGGATTTTTTTTACTTTTAATGAAATATTAGAGCAGTTATATTTTTTTATTCAAATTCCACTCAGCCATTTTTACTTTTACCTATACCTATTTATATCAAATACCTTTAAATTGGCAGTCTTAGCAATTATGAAGCTTATAATAATGTGTTGACGATCTATAAAATTATAAATGTCCACATTAATTTATATATTGTCTTCAAATATAAGCTAAGGAAATCTAAAGTATTTTTTCAAAATAAAACTATACTGAATGAATTACAGTGTCCATAAAGCAACCTTAACAGCCCTGGCTTTACATGTAATTAGTTAGAACTAACGATCAGGCCTGAAAGTAAGACAGAAAAAGAGTAAAAACTGGTAGTAAAATCATTTCATTTATAGCTGATTTTTGGGAGGAATAAAATAAACACTTACGACTCTCAATGATATACTGTTCATCACCACTAAGTTTTTTACAGATACGAAAGTTTCGCATATATGTTATAACTGATACATAAAATTTTGGTAATTGCAGAAACATTTTATTCTTCCCCAAAACAAGCTGGAATAAATAATTTTCCAACCTGTTTTTTACTCCTTGATCTTGATGTGTACCGTCAAATCGAGAGGAGGGGTAAAACTTGGTATAAATTAAATGTCGAAAGATCTAGTGTTCAAGAAAAGCCAGCATTGAATAATGCAACAATGTAAATGGAAACAAAACCAAGCAATAATTAAGATTTTAAAAAAATAGAGAGAATGATAGATTGCAACTTGTTATCTTTTCAAGTTTTGAACTTCTTTGTACAAGTTAAGACATTATATTTCAATGCAAACACTAAAACAATCGCTACAAACAAAAACAAATTGTTATATTCCAATAATATGAGAAAGGGTGTAAACTAGATCAGTAACCAATTGTTATATAACACTGCTGAAAAAAAAAATTTCCCTTATACACTTTTATTAATATTTGAGACAGTCCAAGTTAAAAGGTTTCATGGGTCCCTTTTGGCTTATGAGATTGATTTTTACATTTCCAATGTAAACTTTATATCATGTTTGAAAACAATAATAGTAATTAAAACAGTATTAAGAAACAACTCATACTTACAGCAGCACCAGGAGGAGATTGATCCTTTTTATCAAAAGCTAATTTCAAGTTATTTTGATAACTTTGATTATCAGGATCAAGTTCCAAAGCTTTATTAAAAGCCTCTACAGCTTTGTCATATAACTCCAAACTAGTGAAGGCTAAGCTGAAAAAGAAGAAATAAGAAATAAGCTGAAAAGAAGAAGAAATAATAAATTAATGAAATAAAAATTCTAAACAAATTTTAAAAAATAAATACCCCATTCGGCCATATGCTTTAGCATATTTTGGGTCAATTTTAATTGCCATTTCACAGTCTTTAATAGCACTCTTAAACTCATTTAATTTACTATATGCTGCAGCTCTAAAAAAAGAACACATAAACTTTTAGTATTTCAAGCCACTTTTAATAATTCTTCATAATTAAAAATTGAAAGTATATTACAAGTATACAATTTTCATATTTTATATTTTACTAAACTTTATCAATCATAATTATATCAATTACATATCATATATCAATTTCATATTTTACTACAATTTCAACTTTACACAGACAGCAAGTTGACATTTCAAACTATTTTACAAGCAAAAGTTAAATAACATTAAAGGAGCAAATCATCATAATAACATTAAAGGAGCTAATATTTTTCCTCAGAGAACGATTTATTTTATAAAATATAATAAGTACAAATTAAATGGATTAAATAGTTGACATTTGACCAAAAAACAGAAAAGTGAAGAATGAATATCTTATTATGTATTTGCTAAATTCTGTTAATTGGATAGTAATTTAATTTTAAATCAAACTAATTTTTGAAGCTTACATTTGTATGAAGTTTTTTAAAAAATAATATATAATTTGAAATTTTATCTTGGAATCGTAGGTAAACTTTCTGGTATTATATGTAAACTGTTCATTTTAGATGTAAATTCAACAATTATGAATACTAAAACTTATTCCAATTTTTTTTTCCTTCACTAACATTTCGATTTTTTTCCACCAATATGACTCCCTTGAATTTAAACTCCTCTTCTATAGGTTAAAATCTGTGGATCATTGTGTTTTACATTTTCCATTTTGTAGAATTTTTTTTCTACAAGAAATGTTTATTATACAAGAAGTTTTTATCTTTCAAATCTCGCCATTTGAAATCAGTAAATTTTTAGAAAAACATAACATAATAGACAGGACTTGAAAACCTTTTACATGCCTAAAAAATTTTGACAAAGAAGTAATACAATCAAATTATTGGCCAGTACAATATCATTCAACAATGTTTACATACTTTACAACAATGTTTAAATTTGTACATTAATTATTTTTGTATGCACAACAGCTAGAAACTTTTTTAATAAAATAATAAAAAAGAATAGGCAAAATTAATTGTATAAATTTTTCTTTGCATAGCTACTTAATATGTAGGCCTAACAATCATTGATATTTAGGACTAAACATTATTTTTTTCTCCCTTTTGATGCTGTTCATTTGCCCTATCTAAGCATTTTGGAAAATTTTTGTAGAAATATGAGGGGCACTTTAATCGATATTTCTGATTAAACATCAACATGCATGATGAGTCATGTAGGGTAAAAAATACCTGGCCAATTGGAACTTATAACGCTTGTCTGGTAAGATAATTTTTGAGCTAAGATAAATAAATTTTAGCAGATCTTAATGGTTCCTCATACTGCAAAGACTTAATACATTGGATGACTGAATTAACAAAACAGCTTGCCAGTTAGTATGCAAATGACCTGCATTTTTGAACTTCCTCTTATGAGATCTATAATTTATTCATATATATCAGGCTTTAAGTAGATTTTACTTTATAACTGATGTTGAACAGCTGACTCAATTCTGAGTTTAAAACTGGAACATAATAACTTTGAATCCCAACCTAAAAGACATGAAAAAACCCTGGATCAAGCATTGGGAAAGGGATAAATTAGCCTCCATGGAGGGATTTTTTTATGAAATAACCCGTATTTGCAATAAATGGAAGAAAAACCTCCCACAGTTAGTCAGACAAAAAAGAGACCTTTAGAGAGATTTTATTTTATTTCATTTTATAACCGGTATTGAACAGCTAATCCAATTCTAAGTTCACGACGATATTTAACTCTGTATCCTTATAATTTTGAACCCAACCAAGAAGACAAGGGATCAAGAATATGAGACAAACTCGATAAAGAATATGAGACAAATTAGCTTTCATAGTGGACTTTTTGATGGAACTGACCCACATTTGTGATACATGCAGAGGAAAACTACAAACACCTCTAACAGTTAGCCCGACAGCAAGGACATTGTTATCCATGATCCATCTACCACTGAGGGTCTTTTACGTCCGCACTGCCATTGGGTTTGATCCGGGGGCATATAAACAGATCCTATCCAGGATAAGACACTTGATTGCAGTTGGAAAAGGCGATGATAATGCATAAATATAGTGGGCAAACGAAATTACATTAACCTAAACCACAATTCAATACTCGTTCTCTTCATGTCGGATATCCTTGATAAATAAAATAAACAAATTAAGAAACGCTTATGCAAGTGTTTTTCATAAAATTTCATTTTTTCAGAAGCATTGAAGAAATAAAAATAGGTTATTTGCTCTTTTACAGAAATTAATTGAAATTACATAGTTTTTTCAATAATTCTTCGTTTTACCCAATTACTTTTTTCAATAATTCATTTGTTAGTAAAAAAATTTTTTTCACGTAACTTGCATTATTCTGTAAGCTCATGTTGTTCATCTAAAAGTTAATTTATAAGTATGCGATGAATAAATTGTCGTAAAATACATTTGGCATTCTTTTTATCAAGTGATGTAGTGTGTTATAACTTAATAACACAGTAAAGCCGCACGGTATTTAGTAATACCGCATTTTTTAACTGTTATACAAGAAATCGAAATAACTCATCAACAGACTTGCGAGTTTGTAACTGCCTTTATAACTTACACATCACTTTCACTCAAACATGCGATTACCAAATAAAAATTAGAGAAAAGATGATTTTGCTATGCTTTTAAATTAAATCAAGCTATTTCTTAAAAATATAATGAGAATGTACATGAAATATTTACAATATAATATAATGAGATTATAATATAATGAATAGAATGAGAAGATAATGAAGAATATAATGAGATTTTGTACATGAAATATTTACAAAGGAATAAAAATATTTTATTAATAAAATAATAACAAGAAATGTAAAATTTTAATAGCATGTTTCATTGGAACAATATTTTGAAGATTTCATTCCATCTAACTTTTATTGAAAGAAAAATGAAAAACATAACCCGTTTTAGTTTACATATGTTCTCTATTAAATCAATCTTCATAACAGAATAATGTAAACCTTTTTATGAAGATTTTTTAAGAAATTAACTAAGAAAATATTTACTACAAAAACAATAAGTATTCTAATAATGTTATATAACTTTAAAGTAATATTTTCTTGCAAATGAAATCGATAATTATAAAATTTTAAAGCAAACGGAAAATTGTTAGCACCAAAATAAATTGGTGGGACTTCCAGAAGTCCGTATAATAGATTTTTCCGTATAATACACCCCTAAGGTAAACAAAGCTTAAAATGATTTAATAAACGATCTGAATCTAAGAAGCAAAAAATAAATAAACGTTATTTTTAAGGGGAACAATGTTTTAGCATTAGAATATCTAAATCAAATATAAAATATTAGAAAAAAAATATTATTGCTGAAAATATGGAAAACGAAAAAAATTTAACAGTTATGAAAATATTAATCCGCCATTTTGAACTAGAACGATTCAAGCAGGAAGGGGAAATTCATGTCATTCTGGAACAAAGCTTAAAATGATCTAAATCTAAGAAGCAAAAAATAAATAAACATTATTTTTAAGGGGAATAATGTTTTAGTATTAGAATATCTAATCAATAAAATATGAAATATTAGAAAAAAAATATTATTGCTTAAAATATAGAAAACGAAAAAAAATTGACATATGAAAATAATAATCCGCCATTTTTAACTAGAATGATTCAAGCAAGAAAGGGAAATTCCCGTCATTCATTAAGGTGGGTAGGTGGAGGAGAAAAATTCATTTCCTCCTTATTTGTGAAAGAAAATAAGTGTAAAGAGGAGATCATTTAAGTTGAGGGTGGGGAAGTAACAAATTATTGTTTTCTCTCCAATCATTGGCTATCAATCAAGCATAAAGGCGGGGCACGCTGATCGGGTTCTCTTTATTTTTTCTTCTATGACTGAAAGAATCTGCTAAAGAGAGAATGTTACCCCCTTTTTCCCCCCGCCTCCTAAATATTACATGGTATGGGGAAGAACGAATGTTTTGTTTCTCAAGGACGTGTATCCTTTTAGACCTATTCAAATTTTCCATTTTGACTCCCCCTCCACCTTAACGCTTGCCCCGTTTACCCTTTTCCACAGTATTTCTTCTTTCAATAAAAAGGTTCCAGGAAATGCCTCTTTTACTAGCCACCTGCATGGGAAAGGAGGGGGGGGGGGGACTCAGTTGCGGTCTTTTGAAAACAAATCTCCCTCTTTTTCCTACATTCCAAGGGAGGAGCGTCACTAACGGTCACTCAATGGTCTTGGTAGATCTTCACTTCCCCTTTCTGGTGATTTATGGGTTCGATGCATAAATCAGAGGTTCAGTGCAAGCTAGAAAAAGAGAAAATGTGTCAAAAGACCTTTTTTTTTTTTAAAGGAAAGGGGAAGATGGAGAGATGTTTGTTTATTTTGATTGTTAAAAAGTGTCCGGGAAATCGACCCTTCCGGGAAAGGGACGTCCGGATATGGGACGTTACACTGTATATGCAATTGATCTAGAGAAAAAAATATATATAAATGAAGGGATTTTTCTTTAATGACTTATGTCACTAGTTTTAAACTTTAAATGATATTTATACACCTGAAATCTATCCTGAATCTATAAAACATTCAATTTTATATGAGTCATATCTAATTTTATCTGATTTATAGAGAATCGATTAAAAGGAAATTAGAAAAACAATTGAAAGTTATTATGTGAGTTTGAACAGTTATCTTTTCAGTTCAGACTGAGAACCTGGAGTTAACCTGAATTTTATAAAAGTTTAAAATGAAACTGTGAAAAATTAAGTTTGAAAGCATTTTTTTCATTACTAGAAGCATTTATTTTAAAATAATATTTATTTAATTACTTTTTTAGAAATAATGCGAACATAACCTTCAAGAAAAATTCATTTAATTCCCTCATATTCCATCCAGATGAAAGTCCGGAAATACTTCATTTATTATGGAGGTCAATATAACCTTGATTTTCTCAGCAGTAGAATAATAAATGCAATAACTAGATAATGCACCATCTTAAAAATATTTTTTATTCATTCAGATTTCATACAGGTTGTTCTATAACTATCATAAGTAATATATATTAATATATTCCTAACAAAAACAAATAAATAAAAAATATTAAGGGTTTTGAATGAATATTTAAATGAGAAGAAACAAAAATACTAGTGAAATCTGATGAATCACTATTGATGGAGATGATATAAAAACATTTAAACCCAATTGAATGACGTAGGAACCTGAGAACTGATCAAGCAATTATTAGAAACACCTATTAGTTTTATCTAGCTAAAAGTGGTTTTACAAAAGGAAAAAAAAAGAAAAGATTTTTAAAAATTACAAAAGGACATTACAAAAGGAAAAGATTTTTAAAGAATCACGTAATGCGGTTAAAAATTAAAATTATATTGTCCTTTATTCAATAACTGGCAATTCATTGGAAAATAAATTTATTAAGTTAAAAGATCACCATTAAATTGACACTATGCTTGATTAAAAATATTTATTTTGAAATTTTCATCATTTAACTGAACTTGTCATAGAAATGCCCTGATGATACTTTCTCATAGTTGTATCATATAATTTCATTGTAATTCAAAAATGAAAAAAAACTTCTAATTAATATTTTACTCATTTTATAATTCCTTAAGTACTACAATGCATATTATAATGAAGAAATTTTTTGACTAAAGAAACATAGGGAGAAATAAAATAATGATCTGGTTTGTTTCATGTATATCCAGATGTGAAAGGTGCAGAACAGCTCCTTTTTTTATTAAACAATATGCCTTTTTGATGACTTTAACAAACATTGAGATAAAGAGCATGTGCTTCATTTAATATAGCTCTCACATTATTCACTTCGTATTGAAATTTATAAAGAACAAATCAATAGATTTAAATAAAATAAGATTATATTACCTTAAATCAGTGTTTCTTAACCTTTTTGATATAATGGACCCCTTTTAAAAAATTTTAAGAAAAAAATTGCAAAAAACATCAATTATTACAAAAAATTTAATTTTATTATTTTAATAGTATACAAAATTTTCAAAATTAACATTTTTAATGTGAAGGTTGCTGTTGCTTTTCCTTAATTAATAAATTGAATTGGGGGATGGTTTTCGACAAAGCAACGTTCAACATTCAATCAATTTTGATGTTATGTTTTTATTGTCACAAGTGTGGAAAATTCCGTTTTGCAAAGATGCACTGTAGCAAACAAATTATAGCTGCCATAGCTCGCTTTACAAGCAATGGGTAGGCTTCCAAACGTTTTAAAAATTAAGAGTAGTCAGCGGACCCCCAAAATATAACTCATGGACCCCTTGGGGGTTCATGAACCACAGGTTAAGAAACCCTGCCTTAAATAATATACAAATAAAATAAGATGAATAATTTCAACTATACCACAGATAACTAGTACACTATGACATAAATATAACCTAAAATTAAGCCAATAAAAATTTACCGATTTCCATAGTATATAGCATTTTGGTTATCTATCTCAATGGCAGCTGTATAATATCTAATAGCTTCAGAAAACTGATTGTTCTTCATAAGATTATTTCCTAAATCAATAAAAGAACACTTTTTACTCATAAGAAACACATCCCGCAAAAATTTAAAGGAGAGTACTAATAATTACACTAACCTATATTTTTCATTATAATTGCTTCCTTTAGCTCTCCGGGTAACTGGTCATCCATTTCCTACAACAACAACAAAAAAATCATTATTTTTGAAACTAAACCAAAATAATTATAAAGGAAAGTTTAATAATATTCCTTATTATGCAGTATATTTTTATTTTTGAAAACACAAATTTAACAAATTTAATAACTGCAGTTATTCAATGTGCATTGCATTGCATAAATGCAATGCAATGCAGCTGATCTTCGCTTTTTAAAATCTTTAAGATAATATTAAAGAATAGAAACATAACTTTTGTACTAGCATTGAAAAAAAATTATGCAGCATTAATGGTATTCATCTAACAAATTGTTTCATATTTTTTTAATGAATATGCTAATATACAAGGTGAGGATGTTTGTATATCAGGAGTATCTAATTTGGATTGCTATATCTGAGTTATCCTCTATTTATTACTGCATATTAGACAGAACATTTAAGATAATTTTGTATCTACTAAGAGTAAAAACTTTTTCAATCACCTTCAAATAAGCACTTGTTATTTGCAAGAATAGCCTTTAACCTGGCATAATAATGTATCATGTTTTGGTGTGAAAAGGGAAGTTACCTTAAACTCAATTAATGACAGTGTGGAAAGAAGTATTAAATTAATGCAAGACTTTGATGGGTACAGAATGATACAGAACAAAAACAATTTGCTATTCAAAGTATGCATCACATATTATGTAGATTATAAAAATATAGCATTAAAAAGTATATATTCACCCTAATTTTAAGTTCTGAGATTCTGACCATGTGATAATATAGTTAGTATATATGAGTTGGTGACTTATTAAATAATGTTTAATTAATAATGCTCAGAACTTGATTTGTTCAAAATCCATCATATTTTCATAGAAAACATCTGTAGAGTTTGCACTGGATAATTTGCCCTACCCAACTTAAACTTTATAAGTCCGTTAATGTGCTTTAAAAAAAATGATAAATAAATAAATATTTTAGGAGGTACAGTCCGCAAAAAAAAAAAGATATCACCCTGAATAACTTTCGTTATCGGATTTTCACGAACTAAAAGTCAATCTTAATGGTTCCCGGGGGTGACCTCAAATATGCTAATTAATTAGTGCTAACTATTAATTAAGTTACAAAATCAGACACAAAAACATACTTTCTTTAATAAAACATATATTTTTTTTTACATATTTGGAATCTAGACACTTAAATTAGGGGGGGTAGACAAAATTTGGAAAAAATTGGGTCGTAAATTGGGTAGCAATAAAGGTTTATATTGGTAGCAATAAAGGGTTGGGTAGCAATAAAGGTTGCTAGGCAACCTAGTAAAAGAACTCTGAATGTAAAAAAAAAAAATGAAATAGTGTTCTGTGATTGCTGGGAGAGGTTTAATTAATTGTTAATAGAAAATATCTCGAAGTTTCTAGGCAATAGACAATTTTTAAGCTGATTTCTGTCCAAAAAGCAAAAAAAAATTTTTTTTAATCCTCCTTTGAAAAGAAAATTTGAATTGATTTATAAATTATTTATGATTTTTTAAGTTTTTAGAATTTAAATACTTGAACTTTTTATCTGATATTATTTAGATATGTTGTTTTTGCTATATTTATTCGAGGATTTCTTACTAAAATCAAATTGACATAACTTATTATAGCTATATACAAAATTTTAGGGATAATCATTTTTACAGATTTAATCGAGTCTTCTAGGCAAGAAAGTTTGAAGAAACAAAA